GTATCACTAGAACATATTAGGAAATATGCTAGACATTCTTTTCAGTACATGGATGCTTATAGGAATGGACTTACAGGTGAGCAAGCAAAATTTGCAATTAAGCAATATAAATCTCATAGAAAAGTAACCCACAATATTTTTAATAATGAAAATAATGAATAATTTTGAGTAAAAAACTTCTGTAATAAAAAAATATTATGTGATTTGTGGAACTAACAACGTTACACATGTGTTCATATATAATTTTCAAATTTGGTCACTTATTATGTCAATTGCTGGGATTAGACTAGACACACCATAACTTTATGAATTTGATCATATGGGGTCTGGACAATAGAAACGGACCATGTTGTGAAAATGATGTTTTAAGAAAATTTAAAAAAAAGATCTGCATTTCAAGTAATTTACTATTGTTTTTACATCAGGAAAATGGGTATATACAAATATTATGCGTATATAATACACAATTGCAGGGATTAAGCATATAATATGCGTACAAATCGCGTATTTTTTTATGTATGCAAATTGTACATATATTATATGCTTAATCCCTGCAATTGCATATTATATACGCATAATATTTGTACCCATTTTCCTGATGCAGGAATTTTAAATAAACTTGTATCATATATAATCACTTAATGTCAAACATGCAATTTGAACTAGATTATTTAAGTAGATATCATTAAAGTATCATTACATTTTGGTATAGAATGAATTTTTTGTAAAATAATCTGGAAAGCTCACAAATACAGGAGTTCGGATGTTGGTATATAGCAGATTATTATGCCTTATTCCACCAATCCACGAATCTTTCTGAGATTACCTCCTTTACCCCATTAGTTTCATTAGATAACTCTTGCATGATCTCTTGATGTTTGAGCAGTCCATCCTAGATGTGCATAAAAATTAATTAATATTAATAGGATTGGAATCATATAAACAAAATAAACATACCACATAGTATGATATAAGCTCCCCTATAGAAAATAAACATACGGAATGTATAAGAATTTCCCTATATTTGATACGGAATAAAGTTTTAGATATGGAATGGACGTATTTAATCTGCATTTTGAAATTTATCAATGTAATGCAATTTATGGATGTATACAGAAAATGTACGGAATTAAGAAAATTATAATAATAGTCACAGGACATGTCACATCAATTGATTTTCTATGTGAAAATAAATTCGAAATTCGTGTCACATGAAGTTTTTTTTAAAATATCTCGTTATTTTTATATTAAACTCGAACTTTGTTGTTAGACTAAAATGAAAGTACTCCATTAAAGCTTTCTAATGAATACTCTTTCATATCAAA